AGTGGTGGCAGGGCCATGGAGGTTCGGGAGGGGGACAGCTTCCAGGATTAGCATGCTTTTTTTTTTTTTTTTTTTAAGGAGGAAAGGCTACTGTAGCGGCAGGTACCAAGCAGCTGGTGTCTGCAACCAGGAAGTGTTTGTTTCCCCACCAGCCAGCAGCCAGCAGACGTTCTGGCCTTGGTGCTGGGCCTGCCACCTCCAAAGGCAGAGCTGCCCCACATGCCTGCGTCAGGCATGACAGGTCACCCTTGAGTCCTTGGATCTCCCCAAGGCTTCTCCAGGGCTTCCCAGCCGGGCTGAGGTTGAAGGAAACAGGCAAAGTCCCCCACTGCTCCCCGACCCTCTCACCAGAAGAGAAGGGCTGTGTCCCCTGAGCAGTCTGCTTGGGAAAAGAATATGTGGGGTGGCGTGTCCAGATCTGCCCAGGGAGGCTGGGAATGGAGAGAGAGGAATCTGCCAACCAGTTGGGGGAAAAGTGGATTTTGCAACAACCTTGATGATGTTAAATGCTTGGGGGGCCTGGGCAGACCACATGTTTAATATTTGGAGAAGAGGCCGTCTAAACAAAATTAGAGGCTCCTTTGTAGTGATATGAAAGAGATGAATTGGGTTTATCCGACATCAAAGACGGGAGATCCAGTGGGGAACGAGGCCCACAGCCGGGCGTGGGCAGCGCTGGAGGACAGGCCCTGGCAGGGTGCTGGGGGGAGGGAGGCCCCTGTGGCGCGTGTCAAGAGCTGGGAATCCCGCAAGTAACACTTCCCCACGCACTGAACACACTTCCTACAATCTCTCTCACAGACGAAGCTTAAACCTCCCTCAAAGCTACTTTTCAAAAGCAACATTTACCACCAACCAAGAGAAACACAGGGGCCTGCCTTCCACTGTTGACCATTGGGCAGGAAATCATTTATGGACTGTTCTCCTTCCCAGGATCAACTCAGACGTGAACTCTGCGGGCCGGCTGTGGGTGCCGCCAGGCCAGACAGGGAGACCGAGTCCAGCAGAGCTGGGTGGGAACTCCGCCTCTCCCTCCACCACCTGGGCAAGTCCCTCAGCCTCTCCGAGCATAAACTGCTTTGCTTGTAAAATGTAAATAAGGGGCAGGGGGAATTGTTTTGTTGGAGATGAGCCTCCCGAAATCACAAGGGTGTGGTGTGGAGATGAAATGGCCCCATGATGCAGGAGTTGGAGAAGAGGAAGCAGGAGCTCATTTGAACAAGTTGTGATGGGCCCAGGAAGAACCACACCAATCACCCCAGCGGGGTTTGCCCAGGACCCAGGCAGAGAGCTGATTTCAGCACCCGCCGTACACCCCCTCCTCCTGGGGCCGGGGTCTCCCAGCGCCAAGCACCCACTGCAGAGCTTCCAAGCCCAGGCCCATTTAAACACAGGAGGACTTCTGAGGTTCTTTCACCCCCACAGTCAGTGATTCTACATCTCCAGCTCATATTCTGAAGCGTTTATAGGTAAATCGTGTAATACTGGGATTTGTTTTTAAAATATTCTAGCCAAAGTACATAGTAGACAAAATAAGAGTGTCCAAGTGTTGGTAATTATTGAAACTAGATGAAGATACATGAAAGTTTAATTTTTATTGTCACCTACATCATGTGCATTAGGAAACTTTCATAGTAAGTTAAAGTGGCAAAATAGGCTGGGCTCCGTTGCTCACACCTGTAATCCCAGCCCTTCTGGAGGCCGAGGCAAGTGGATTACTTGAGGTCAGGAGTTTGAGACCAGCCTGGCCAAATGGCAAAACCTCAGTGCCACTAGAAAATACAATACAAAAAAAAAAGTAGCTGGGTGTGGTGGTGGGCGCCTGTAATCCTGGCTACTCAGGAGCCTGAGGCAGGAGAATCACGTGAGCCTCGGAGGCGGAGGTTGCAGTGAGCCAAGATCAGGACACTGCACTCCAGCCTGAGAGACAGAGGGAGACTCCTAAACAAATAAATTAAATTAAATAACGAAATACATTTCAGTCTCAAGCTCTAATTCCCTGCCAGGAGAAGCTGAAACTAAGCCATGGCACCTCCTACTTCTTCTCCCTCATCCCTAAAACATGTGGGGTGCTGGGTGCTGGGTGCTGAGGGAGATCTGAAGACAGCCACAACTCAGACAAGCAGGAGAGGCCAGAACGGTGGTGAGAAATTTTAAGGTGTGTAGCACATGCTCCCCAGGGTGAGGACACAGGACTCTGGGACCTAAGGAGGGAGCAGTTAACTCAGAGAGGGCCCAAGTCAGGGAGGACCTGACCTTGGTGACAAAGCCAGTCGTGCTAATAATGGGAGCAATGGTTTTGCAGCCACAAACACTGCTCTGGGGGACCGTGGGCCCAGTGTGGTGGGAGGGTTACAGCCGGGACGGCTCCCCTGTACTACACGGATTCTTATACTCGCTCTCACTCAACCCATGTGGAGGCTCTCACCAACATAGGAGTCCCTTTGAATTGGCAGGACGCTGATTGTCCTGGCACTGGTGAGTGCACGGGCCCAGGAAAGAGCAGGTATTTGAACCCAGTGAGACAGGTGCCTCTGATTTATTTTTATCTGTTATTATTTTTTATTTTTTGAGACAGAGTCTCAACTCTGTTGCCCAGGCACCATCTATGTTCACTGCAACCTCCGTCTCCCGGGTTCAGCCTCCTAAGTAGCTGGGATCACGGGCATGCACCACCACACCCGACTGATTTTTGTGTTTTTAGTAGGGACAAGGTTTCACCATGTTGGTCAGACTGGTCTCAAATTCCTGACCGCAGATGATATTTCTGCTTAGGCCTCCCAAAGTGTTGGGATAACAGGCGTGAGCCACTGTGCCCGGCCCGGGTTTCTTTTTTTGTGTATGTTTGTTTTTGCCAACTTGCTGTGTGACCCTAAGCAAGTTACTTAACTTCTCTGGGCTTCAGTTTTCACGGATGAAAACTGTAAAGAGGTTGGAGAGAGATAAGGACTAGGTTAAGGCCTTAGAGGAGAGCCGGCGTCCCGGATTTCTCCCTCTGTCACCCCATTTTCCATGATCCTGCCTGACTTTGTGACTCCTGGCCTGCCTATCAAAACAAATGCTGCCATCTCAGTGCTTAGCCAAGGGCCCTTCCCAGCGCGCAGGAAAGGCTGCTGCACCCGCTCTGCCTGCCTTTGCCCTGCGATTCCTACACACCCCCCTTTGTTTCTCCTCAACGTCTGTCCCTCACTATGCTCCTCTGCTGTTTGTCCTCAGCTGCCGAAAGGGCCACGTTTGTTTTCATTACAAATAAGACCACGGAGTGGGCTCCTGTCGTGGGGTGCGCGGGGAGCAGCCCCAGCAGGCTCTCTCTGGAGGGTGGGTCTCCGCTTCCCTGTTCCCGTGTTTGCTTTTAGACCCAGCCCAGTGGCCCGGTGGGCTCCGCGGACTCCCAGCCGTCAGAGGGGAGGGCGGCTCGGCTTTGGCCCCAAGGCTTCCTGCCGGTCCGCATGTGTGTTCCTGGGGGGGTGCGGGGAGCTGGTGTCTTGGCCCTTCTGGGAAGGCGCGCACAGCCAAGGCAGGGAGAGCCCCAGGCGGGAAAGGGCTTTTTAGAGGTGCGGTGCGGCGAGGGGGCGGGGCGTTATTTTTAACATTTGATTTATTTTTCCACCTGGACTTCTTCCCGGGCTCTTCCTGGGCCCAGCTGCCTCTGTGGCCCCGCGCCCGGGCCCTCGGCCTCTCGCTTCCAGCGCGGGGCGCCCCCTGGAAGTGGCTGTGACCGGGCAGAGGGGCCGTAGGCGGCTCTCTGGGGTCTCAGGCCGGGGGCCGTGAACCGAGAGGCAGATGATCCATCAGAAAAGAGCCGGCACCGCCCGGCGCCCCTGCCCCTGCCCCTGCCTCTTTCCGGAGCGTGCGCGCCCTCCACGGCAGCGTGACCCAGGCTCGGGCCGCCGCGCCCCTCAGCAAGGGAGAGCCAAGGACCCCAGGCGGAAGGTCAGGAGCGGCCACGTGGGGGCCCCTTGGCCACAGGCCCCGCCGGGTTCTCCCGCCAGTCCCTGCTTGCTCTGGGGACCAGGTGACACCAGTGCCTGGATCTCGGCCTCATTCCGTCCTCGTGTGTCCTGCTCCCCGCCCCATCCACTAAGACCTCAGTCTGGTTCACTGTCTTCCAAGAGCTGGAACCCCCTCTCAGGTAGGTGAGGGCCCAGGCCACGCCTCCCCTCCCGACCCGTGTGCCCTCTGGGCTTCAGGGCCCCACACACCGTGACCAGGGCGCGTCCCCTATGGGGCCGGCCAGTTGGCACAGTGCCAGGCACGCAGTGCCCTGGGCACCCTCCGAAGTTGTTCTGTGTCGTTCACATCAGAAGGAAGACATTAACCTTTAGGCTGACGAAAGCGTTTTAGAGAAAGTATCAACATATTTATCTTTATCCAACAACCATAAAATATAACTTTAAATATTCTGTTGATGGAGAAAGGGGCTCATGTAGGCAGAAGAGCCCAGGTCACGAGCATCCCAGCGCCCACCTGGATGCCCCTCATGCTCCCCTGGCCAGCAGACCTAAAACGAGGGTGAAGGCCAGATTTCTTGCACATGGCAATGACGGGAGTTCCCTAGAGAGCTTCATGTGGATCCTTTGCTTTTTATTTTCTCTCTTAATAAAAATGTGTGATGTTTACATTGTCAGAGAACAAACAGAACGGTGGCTGGTGTTGCACGTCTTACGAAATGGGTCTTGTGTACTTTTGGCTGTTCCTTCGTGTTCCTAGCAGTTATAGATTTGACCCCCTTCGGAACGGAAGGGCCACATGTCAGCGGTTTGGGGCAGCGGTAACTGCCCCGTTTGCCCTCCCTGATATGCTGCTTTATCTCCCTGCAGTCCCTGCTTGGCCTACCTGGCAGGGCTCCTTCCCAGACCCGGCTCTGCTCCCAGGGCTTTGTTTGGTATCGCCTCACCCCCGCCTTCCCTGATTACTCTTCTTTCTACAGACCCGGCTTTCCATGTGTCCGCAGCGCTGGCCTTCTCAGGGCTTCTAGCATCCGTGTCCGCCCCTTTAGCCTGCTAGGACCACCGTCACAAAGCCCCACAGCGTGCGGGGCTTCAACCACAGAAATCTGTATTCTCACAATTCTGGAGACCAGGAGTCTGAGATCAAGGTGTCGGCAGGGCTGATGTCTTCTGCAGCCCCTCTCCTTGGTTTATGAAGACCCTCCCTGTGTCCTCACAGGGTCTTCCCTCTGTGCCTGATCTCCTGTCAGTCATACTGGGTGAGGGATCACTGTATGGCCTCATTTGACCTTAATCTCCTTTTTACAGACTGTCTCCTTACTCAGTCACCCAGGCTGGAGGGCAATGGCGCGATCTCGGCTCACCACAACCTCCGCCTCCTGGGTTCAGGCAATTCTCCTGCCTCAGCCTCCCGAGTAGCTGGGATTACAGGCACGCACCACCACGCCCAGCTAATTTTTTGTATTTTTAGTAGAGACGGGGTTTCACCATGTTGACCAGGATGGTCTCGATCTCTGGACCTCGTGATCCACCCGCCTCGGCCTCCCAAAGTGCTGGGATTACAGGCACGCGCGACCACGCCCAGCTAATTTTTGTATTTTTAGTAGAGATGGGGTTTCACTTTGTTGACCAGGATGGTCTTGATCTCTGGACCTCGTGATCCACCCGCCTCGGCCTCCCAAAGGGCTGGGATTACAGGCTTGAGCCACTGCGCCCAGCCGTATCCTAAAAATCTTTTGTGTTGCTGAGCTACTCATCCCTCCCTCCTGCTAAGCCCTGGTGACAGCTGATCTTTTCGCTGTCCCCATAGTTTTACCTTTTCCAGAATGTCACCTAGTTGGAATCGCACAGTCCAGTCTTTTTAGACTGGCGTCTTCCACTTCGTAAGCTTCCTCCATGCCTGGTCATGGCTTCGTAGCTCCTCTGTAGTACGGCTGTTCCACCGTTTACGTACGCGGTCAGCTACATTTTGGTGGCACGAAGACATTTTGGTTGCTTCCAAGTTTCAGCACTCATGAATAACGTTGCTACAAACATTCATGTGCAGGTTTTTGCACGGATGTAAGGTTTTTAGCTCCTTTGAGTAGATACCAAGGAGTGTGATTGCTGGATGGGACGGGAGGCGTACATACTGGCAGAGTGTCTTCCAAAGTGGCTGCGTTCTCACCAGCAGTGAGTGAGAGGTCCTGTGGTCTCGCATCCTCCCTGGCACTGGCTGCTGCTGCTGTTCCGGATTCTGGCTGTTCTCACAGGTGTGCAGTGGTATTGATGATTTAATTTGCATTTCCCTGATGATGTATGATGTGGAGCATCTTTTCATATTTATTTTGCATCTGTGTATCTTCTTTGGTGAGGTACTTATTAAGGCCTTTGGCCCATTTTAAAATCAGGTTGTCTGTTTTCTCATTGCGGAGTTTTTTTCATTCGTTTGTTTTTGTTTTCAGATGGGGTCTTGCTCTGTCACCCAGGCCAGAGTGCAGTGGCACAATCACAGCTCACTGCAGCCTTGACCTCCTGAGTTAAAGCTATCCTCCCACCTCAGCCTCTCAAGTAACTGGGACTACAGGTACGCGCCACCATGCCTTGCTAATTTTTTATTTTTTGTAGAGATGAGGTCTCCTTTTGTTGCCCAGACTGGATTCTTGAGTTTTAAGAATTCTCTGTATATTTTGGGACAACTGCGTATATTACTATACTGGTGGATACACATACTAGAAATTTGTCCATTCCCATGGACCACACAACACCAAGAGTGAAGCCTAATGTAAACTGAGTGACAGTGGACTCTGAGTGACTATAACGTGTCAGTTTGGTCCTTCAACTGTACCAGTTGCAACAAATGTACCGCTCTGGTGGGGTACGTCGTGAGGGCAGACACAAATGCATGGGCTCAGGGAGTCTGGGAGCCGTTGACCACCACCTGCGGAAGTCTGGCCTGCAGACCCTGACTCAACAACAGATGAATGAATGTCCTCTCACACCGTTACGGTGATTCCATTGGCTGGGGATGGCCATTGGCTGCTTTCAGGGGGCGAAATGCCGCCAACCAACCAAGACTCCCTGTCCATCCACACATTATGCCCAACAGAGGCTCTAAGTTAACACAGTTGTGGATAATTAACATGGTCAAAAGAATGGTTATACCAATGATGGAATCTTTAGGTCCGGGCCCAGAGCAGACACTATTAACACACAATTCCCCTTTGATCTCACCCTGAGGGGACCATCCAGCAGAGTTTACATGAGTAAACAGAGTACAGACAAAGGGATGTGGGATAAACAGACCTAAACTGGGAAAGCTTCTCATCATCCCTGTGTCTTCCCCAGTGAGGGACGGGCCAGCCACCCTCAGCCAGCCCCAACAAAGCCTTTCAGCCTTCCAAAAGGTTTGAGGCTATAATCTATAACTTTCCGTAATATTCTGCTTACTGTTTTCCCAGGCACCCTGGGTGAATGTCAACAAGTATGTGGGAATTTCTATATCTTCTGCTCAATTTTGCTGTGAATTTAAAAGCGATCTAAAAAATAAAGTGTATTGGCCGGGCGTGGTGGCTCACGCCTGTAATCCCAGCACTTTGGGAGGCCAAGGTGGGCAGATCATGAGGTGAGGATCGAGACCATCCTGGCTAATGTGGTGAAACCCCGTCTCTACAAAAAATGCAAAAAATTGCTGGGCGTGGCAGTGCATGCTTGTAGTCCCAGCTACTCGGGAGGCTGAGGTGGGAGAATCACTTGAACCCAGGAGGCGGAGGTTACAGTGAGCCAAGATCGTGCCACTGCACTGCAGCCTGGGCCACAGAGCGAGACTCCATCTCAAAATAAATAAATAAATAAAGTGTATTAAAACAGAAAAAAGAGTTTAGGATTAATCCATGGGGAAGTTCCTGATCACTGAAGTCAGAACGTCACCTCATTTGAAAGCAGGAAAAGCTGTTTGTACTCGCCATGTGCATGGGACACAGTGACCGGAAGTCCCTGGCCACTGGCCTTCCTGGGCCTGAAGTGGCACTTCATGCTTGCCCTCCACTTGGCTGTCGCCACGTGCGTGCCAGGCTGGCCTCAGCCCTCCCTTTCCTTTACAGGACCAAGTCAGCAGGGTCATCCCCAGAAATGACAAGTCTGGGGTGCCCCCTGCTGTCTCTCCCCTCTGCTCCGGGGAACCCTTTCCTGGGCCCTGCCTGGGTGTGGGACCTCCTGCTGGCCCCAGCCCTTGGCTCTGCTCCCCGTTTCTTCTCTGAAGAGGGAGTCTATTCTCTCCAAGCCTTAACGCCACTTTCCTTGTCTTTAAGTCAAAGCCACCATTCTGGCAGCCATAGGATTCACTGGTAGGAGCCATGTTCTCCCGCTTAGTCTATGGGGGAATCTCCACAGGGCCCTTCTGCTCCCCACTCGGTCCCCACTGTGAGGCCCCGCCCGGCCCCTCTGGGCTCTGTGCCTCCAGCTCATCCTGCCCACCTCTGCTCTGTCCTTCCCTGCTCCTCACTCACCAGGCCCTTGTTCTCGGGCCCCAGTGCCCCAGTACTTAGCACAGAGGTTCAGGAACTTCCAGGGAGATCCTCAGCTCACTTTTCTTTTTAAATATACTTCATTTTTAAAGCAGCATTAGGTTCACAGCAGTTTTTGCTTCAGTCAAAAAACACTTACTGACTGGGAACTCTTCCTTGGAAATTTCACGTCCAAATCCAAGAGCTGCTTTGGAGAACTCTCTGTGGGAGGGTGCCTGCCACCTGTTGCTTGTTTTCTGTACACAACCTCTGACCCTCACTCATTTCACGGGAATCCCATGACACAGCCATTCTTTGGTTTTCTTTTGTTTTTGAGACAGTCTCTCTCTGTCACCCAGGCCTAGATGGAGTGCAGTGGCGCAATCTCAGCTCACTGCATCCTCCACCTCCAGGGTTCAAGCAACTCTCTGCCTCAGCCTGAGTAGCTGGGATTACAGGCACCCATCACCATGCCTGGCTAATGTTTTATATTATTAGTAGAGATGGGGTTTCACCATCTTGGCCAGGCTGGTCTTGAACTCCTGACCTTGTGATCCACCTGCCTTGGCCTTCCAAAGTGCTGGGATTACAGGCGTGAGCCACAACGCCTGGCTGACTTGGGCACTGTTAATCCTGTGTTCCAGTTGAGGGTCCAGAACAGAGCCTATCCAGGTGGGAAGTGGCAAGGCCAGGATATGCCCCCTGGGGACCCTAGGACCAGCTCTGTTCCTATCTCTGAGCTCCCTCCGCCCATCAGGTAAGATCTGGTCACTTCTGTACTGCTTTGAATCAACTGTGTGCCAGGCACGGGCCAATCACTGAGATTTCTAAGGTACACGGGTGGGGCTGGAGGTTAGGAGAGAGCTTTCAAATCACTTTCAGCCTAGCGGGGAAGGCAGGCCCATCACCAAGGCAGTCCACCAACAAGGCTAGAGAGAGGCTTAGCCTGAGGGAAGAGCCCCACTTCCGTGGCATCCTGGGTGACATTTGAACAACTAACGACTCATTTCATTACCCAGGATCGAGCTTCACCCCAGGCAGATTCGTTCTAAGATGAAGGTGCCTACTGCTTGCTGTGGTCCTCATGTCCTTGTCTCCCAAAATTCATAAGTTAAAATCTTACCCCCAAGTCATATCAGGAGGCAGGGTTTAGGGGAGAAGGCTGGGCTATAAGGAGTGAATCTCTAGGAATGGGTTTAGTGTCCTTAGGAAAGAGGCCCTTGAGAGGACCATCATCCCTTTTGCCATGTGAGGTTACAGTAAGAAGTGGCTGGCTAAGCATAGTGGTTCTTGTCTATAATTCCAGCAATTTGGGAGGCCGAGGTGGGAGGATCGCTTGAAGCCAGGAGTTTGAGACCATCCTGAGCAACATAGGGAAACCTTGTCTCTATAAAAAAAAATACAAAAATTAGGCCAGGCATGGTGGCTTATGCCTGTGATCCCAGCATTTTGGGAGGCCAAGGCAGGTGGACTGCTTGAGGTCAAGACCAGTCTGGTCAACATGGTGAAACCCCGTCTCTACTAAAAATACAAAAAATTAGCTGGGCATGGTGGCGCATGCCTGTAATCCCAGCTACTCGGGAGGCTGAGGCAGGACAATTGCCTGATCCCAGGAGGCGGAGGCTGTGGTGAGCCGAGATCGCGCCATTGCACTCCAGCCTGGGCAACAAAGAAGGACCCTGTTTCTAAAATTTAAAAAATAAAATAAAATAATAATAATGATAGTAATAAAGGAAGAGGTCATTTATGACCCGGAAATCAGGCCCTCACCAGATCTACCAGCACCTTGATCTTGGATTCCCAGACTCCAGCACTGTGAGCAGTACCTACATTCCTACTGTTTACAAGCCAGCCAGTTTATGGTGGTTTTTTTTTTTTTTTTTTTGAGACGGAGTTTCGCTCTTGCTACCCAGGCTGGAGTGCAATGGCACGATCTCGGCTCACCGCAACCTCCGCCTCCTGGGTTCAGGCAATTCTCCTGCCTCAGCCTCCTGAGTAGCTGGGATTACAGGCACGCGCCACCATGCCCAGCTAATTTTTGTATTTTTAGTAGAGACGGGGTTTCACCATGTTGACCACGATGGTCTCGATCTCTTGACCTCGTGATCCACCCGCCTCGGCCTCCCAAAGTGCTGGGATTACAGGCTTGAGCCCCCGCCCCCGGCCAGTTTATGGTGTTTTTATTACAGAAGGCTGGACGGACACAGGCTGGACCTGACTCCAGAAACTGAAGCAGGCCTCAGTGAAGGGGGCGGAGGGAGGAGGCAGGGGGCAGGGGGCAGGAGGCAGGAGGCAGGAGGGAGGAGGCAGGGGGCAGGAGGCAGGAGGGAGGAGGCAGGAGGGAGGAGGCAGGGGGCAGGAGGCAGGGGGCAGGAGGCAGGAGGGAGGAGGCAGGAGGGAGGAGGCAGGAGGGAGGAGGCAGGGGGCAGGAGGCAGGGGGCAGGAGGCAGGGGGCAGGAGGCAGGGGGCAGGAGGCAGGAGGGAGGAGGCAGGAGGGAGGAGGCAGGAGGCAGGGGGCAGGAGGCAGGGGGCAGGAGGCAGGGGGGAGGAGGCAGGAGGGAGGAGGCAGGAGGCAGGAGGATGCACACCCGCATTTCATCCCTGTGGTGAGCAGCCTCCCCCAGGGACCGATCCCTTTCTCAGCACAGTTGCTCAGAGTTGAGCAAGGAATTTGTCTTTCTCCGAGTAACACACACAGGCCCAGGCGGAGTGGTGCCGCGGAAACGTGCGGTGAGCAGGAAGGGCCACTGAGGAAGGAGGACGGGGTGCTGAGAACAGCCGTCGTGGAGCTCGGAAACGGACACATGTGCAGCCCTTGGCACAGTATTTTTCCCTTAAAATATGGATGGGAACGAGGGGCTCTCACTTTTTTTCTTTGCGGTGGTGAGCAGTGAGCCAGGAGCAAACTCTGCAGCCCCAGCACACGCGGTCAGTGCACCCAGCACAGCGGGGAGAAGCGGCTGACTGTGGGCTCGACCCCGCGTACCTGGGGATGGACGACCCGCCGCCCCGCAGAGGAAACGCCTGGAATCTGGAAGGAAACAGGTGGAGACTATCCAGGTTTCCTCCCCTTCCCCCGCTTCCCCCGGGGTGGCTGTGCCTCCCCTCCCTCCTGCTCCCCTCCCTCTCTCCCTCCCCTGGACCCAAGGGTGGGCAAATCCAACCCCCAGACGAGGATCTTGTTGGGGGGGGGGATAGCTGGCAGGAGCTCAGCAGCAGGTGGTGGCCCTGCTCCCGCCTGAGAGATGGCAGCCAGGAGGTGGCAGCCGGTGATAGTGAGGAGACCCAGGCCCGACGCAGCCTGAAATCCTGTCATTCCCTCCCACCCGGCTCCTCATGCGAAACCAGCCCCAGAGCAAAGTGGGTGTCGCTGGTTACGATGCGCAGGGCAGGCCTATACAGGACACGGACCTGGACACAGAGGAGGGTGGTGTGGACTGGGCGGGCCGTGGACAGCACCTAGCCTAACGGGAGACAGACAGGTGCACCCCCAGACTATGGGAAAGCGCCCTCTGCCTCCAGCTGGGCTCGGCCAGGCCTTCCACTTGCCAGCACCTTGCTTCTCTGTGCCTGGGAGGTTCAGGGTGGGCTGGTGGGTGGTAGGAGGTGGGAGAGTTCCTGTGTCAGGAGTTGAAGCCCTCTCGGCCTCTTGCCTGCTAGGACTCTGTAGAAGCCTCTGCAGCTGTAAACGGGCTGCTTTAAGTTGATTCCAGGGGAGGGTGAGAGGAGCAGTGGCAGGTGGTATGGGAAGAGACTATCTAGAGAGACGAGGGCACCACATATGCACATGCATGTACGCACATGTGCACACACGTTTACACACATGTACACACACGTACACTCTCACAGTGCACACAGGCACACCTGTGCGCACGTGTACACGTGTACACGGGCGTACACACATGCACACACGTACACACATAGACATGTGTACACATGCACACACTTGCATACACGTACACAGATGTGCACATGTGTACACATGCACACACACACCCACGTGCACATGTGCACACGTGCATGCACATGTACTCATACGTGCACACACATACACATGTGCACACAGGCCCACACATATGCACACACATGCAAACATGCACACACATGCCGAAACATGCACACAGAAGACACACATGCCCCACTCCTCTACTGGGACCAGAGCAGCCCCTCCATTCCTGCTCACCTAGGAGGGTGCCCAGCCAGGTTTCCTCCCTGTGAATTGAGCGCCAGAGACCAAAAGTGACTGGAAAAACTGATGGTTTTTCAGTTCTCTTCCCATTCTGTCAAGCACAGAGGAGACACTTTGTGATACAAGGTGGGCGGGGGAACGGCAGGCGAAAGGGGAAGAAAGGGCAGGGACGGAGGTCGCCCTAGAGCAGCCCGGGAGGGGTCTGGGCCCTATCCTAGGCCCAGCCACTTCCCGAGGATACCAGGTGGTGTGGAGTCCCCGGCCTGCAGGCCTCAAGTGGCCCAGCCCTACTCTGCACTCCCCACGCGTGGCTCTTCTGCTGATATCCTTGGCCACAGTCTCCGTGTAGGTGCTCCTTTTAGCTTCTGCCTCAACTGAAATCTGAAGGTCAGGCCAATTTCGTGGTCTCTCAGACATCTGTAAACAGCAGGCCGGGGCTCCTGGGGAGACCGGGAGGCCTCTCCCTGTACTCCCTTCTCTCAGCTTCAAGGGCAGGACAGTTGCTATGGGGATTCCTTCATTGGTATCATAACAGTTTTCAGAAAAAATAAGGACTCACCAGTCCTTTGAGGAGGAACAGAGTCAATCCTCGGGGCGATCTGATCTAGCAGAGCTTGGAGGGGGGACTCTGACGGGCTGCATTTGGTGGCTTTCCCGTTTTCCCCTCTGGTCCTTGTGCAGGAAGGAAGCCCACCACTGGGGGTGGTGGCATCACCGTTTGCTTCTTTGCAAGATCTGAAGGCAGGCGTTAAAGATAAGTTAGAACTGGCTAGCTAGGGCCTGGCACACTGGCTCACATCTGCAATCACAGCACTTTGAGGTGCTGAAGTGGGAGGATTGCTTGAGCCCAGGAGTTGGAGACCAGCTGGAGTAACATAGTGAGACCTTGTTTCCCCAAATAATTAAAACAAAAAAATAAGCCGTGTGCGATGGTGTGTGCCTGTAGTCCCAGCTACTCGGGAGGCTGAGGCTGGAGGCTCACTTGAACCCAGGTGGTCGGGGCTGCAATCAGCCATGATTGTGCCACTGCCGCCAGCCTGGAAGACGGGATAAGATCCTGCCTCGAAGAAAAAAAAGAAAAGCCTATGTCTGCTAACCTAGAGAGTTACTGTCAGTTTCCAAAAGGGTTTTCATGGCCCCTTCTGGGCCTCGCTGGCTGGGCGGAGTTACTAGTCCAAGGACGCCACAGGGCCTGTGCACATTCATTTGCACTGTGCCTGGCCAGGCAGAGGGCTTTCCCTGCACCGACTCTCCTGGAAGTCTGGGGTTAGCAGCACAGACTGGAAACTAAGGTATATGGAGGGGAGGCACTGCACCAGGTCCCTGATGTATGTGAGCACATATAACTCCTTAGGCCAGGAAGCCAGGCTTTCTAAGCAGCTAGGACCAGCAGAGTGCGAGCCAGGAGGAATATGTTTATGAACAAGCTTTTTTTCCAACATCAGAAAAAAAAAAGTTGGCCTTTGGGAGTGACAAGGAGTAAAAAGGATGAGGAGCTCAAATCAGGTGGACATCTGATCGAGATGATCCTTCTTTTCTTTAGAAGAGTAACACCCTGGCTGTGAGCTGTGTGACCTTGAGAAAGTCGCTCTCCCTTTCAACTTTTTTTTTTTTGGTTAGAAATGGGGTTTCAGGCCGGGTGCGGTGGCTCACGCCTGTAATCCCAGAACTTTGGGAGGCCGAGGCGGGTGGATCACGAGGTCAAGAGATCGAGACCATCCTGGTCAACATGGTGAAACCCCGTCTCTACTAAAAATACAAAAAATTAGCCGGGCATGGTGGCGCGTGCCTGTAATCCCAGCTACTCAGGAGGCTGAGGCAGGAGAATTGCCTGAACCCAGGAGGTGGAGGTTGTGGTGAGCCGAGGTCGCGCCATTGCACTCCAGCCTGGATAACAAGAGTGAAATTCCGTCTCAAAAAAAAAAAAAAAAAAAGAAACGGGGTTTCACTGTGTTAGGATGGTCTTGATCTCCTGACCTCATGATCCACTTGCCTCAGCCTCCCAAAGTGCTGGGGTTACAGGCATGAGCCACCGTACCTGGCCTTCTTTCAACTTTCTCACCTGCCATAAAGGGGCTGAGCTCGAACAAGCCTGGGTCCCCTCCAGCAGTGGTGCTCGTGCACTGCACCTGTGCTAGGAACACCAGTGAGGTCTCCACGCTAGAACTCATCATTCCAGGACTCCACGTGGCCGCAGCATCAGGCCCAGCGTTCTCGGCTTTGAACTGAAGGCTCCGGATAACCTGACCCTGCTCACCTGTCCCATCTCCCGCTCACCCTTTCCTGTGGATTACTTATTGTTCTGCCCCTGCAGCCTCCCTATCCTTGTTCAAACCAGCCAAGCACACCCCTCCTGCCCAGTACCCTTGTCTGAGGATGTCCTGTTAGCCTTTCAGCTCTCAGTGGAGATGGTTCCCTTTTCAGGAACCCTTCCTGGAATCCTCAGATTGCGGTCCTGATCTTCCCAATCCTGTATCCACAGTCACTGCCTTCACCTGAATGCAACTGCAATTCCCTAGCCCTTCATTTCAAAAAATACCCCGGAATGATTAGCACGTACTGTGACAATGACAAATCCCAATACAGGAGGACATGAATCAAATGATCATGTTCATTCATGCATGATTAGAGGCAGAGAAGGGGAAAGAAAAAAGAGAAAACAGCCTCCTGAGAGCTTGCCTGGGGTCTGGAAGGATGAACGGGGCTGGGGGTGTGGAAGGCAGCGGTTCCCGGGAGAGGAGAGTGGGCTGCGCTGGCCTCCCCCTTCATGAGAGAGGCTCCAGAGCGATTCCCACCCCGCACTTGATGCCACCTGCTGCGGTGGCTTCGGGCCTTTGGGTTGGGGAGTGGGATCTGAGGCCTGTTTTTCGGGGTAATAAATTTTGTGACCTTGGATGAGTCACTTCTCTCACAGATCCTGGGAAGGGCAGGAGGAGGAGTGAGACCCAGGCCTGCATCCCACCCCCTAGAGACACAGGCCCTGGGTAAGAACAGCCCCTACTCAGCCAGGTGGAGTTTCCTGCAGGAGGAAGGAGAGGAAG